TTGAAAGGGTGGCCAGAGATAAGATATAGGGAGTAGGTGGGGGCTAGGTCACAAACAATTCAGTATGTCATGCTAAGGAACTGTTATTTTATTTTATTTTTTCTTTTTTTTTTCACATTTATTTATTTTATTACATTTTAGGTTTTGGGGTACATGTGAAGAACATGCAGAATTGTTGCATAGAAACACACATGGCAGTGTGATTTGCTGCCTTCCTCCCCATCACCTACATCTGGCATTTCTCCCCTTGCTATCTCTCCCCAGCTTCCCACCCCCCACTCTCCCTCCCCTATTTCCCCCCAACTGACCCCAGTGTGTAGTGCTCCCCTCCCTGTGTCCATTTCCTAAGAATTTTAATATGGAAGTATCTTGATTAGAATTGCAAATTCAAAAGGCTTTTGTAGCCACATGAAGAATAAACTGAGATGGGGAAGCAGTAAGCAGGCTATTGCAGGACATGAGAAGCTGGATGGATTTGGGAGTTATTTGGCAGGTCAAATAATTAGGAATTAGTGATCAATTGGATATAGGCGGAAGTGAAAGAATAGAGTCCAGGATTGACCTTAGGTTTCCTTCAGTTTGAATTAGTGAATGTAGAATGTAGAAGGAGCAGTCTGGGTTGGTGGCATGTGAGTGTGGCTTAAGTGGGATAAGTTCTGCTTAGGGATTGTCAGCTTGCATTACCTTGGACTTTCTGGTAGAGATGTCCGTACATGCACAAATATATATAAACATAAGGACCCAGACTTGGGTTCAAATCCCAGCTCTGTTACTTCCTATCTGTGTGACCTTGGGTAGGTTAGTTAACCTTTTCATGTCTCGTTATAGTTGTAAAAATGGGATAATGGCACATAATTCATAAGGTTGTTGTGTGAATTAAACAATCTAATTGACAAAAGTCTAACAGAGTGTCTAATACACAATAACTTGATAAATGTTGTCATTGCTATTCTAGATATGGGGATGCCAGTATCTCGTTTAGAGCCACGGAAGGGATGAGATTCATTAGAGAGATGAGAATGAGAAGAGAGGGGACCAAATATGGACTGTTGGGGTATGTCAACAGTTGAACCTCAAAAACTCAGTTGCCAGGACTTCTCCATTCTGTCCTCTACCCTTAATAGGTTATTTCAGATATCACTGGAGGAAGTAGAGGTTTATTTCTGTCTTATAGCCAATTGTAATAAGTGTTGTTTTTATTCTCAGGCTTATATATTCACATTCATTCATTTATTCAACATGCTTTTGCTAAGTTACTGGTAGACGTTATTCTAGGTGCTAAAGATATTGCAGAGAACAGTCATCTCGGTCACAGGCCTCAGAATACCAACAATCTAGAGGAGAGAGAGGTAGCCATCAAAAAGATAAAAGTATTTGCTAGTGATAAGTACTTTAGAGAGAATGAAAATATGAAATGCTGGAGAATTCCTAGGCATTTATGTTAGATTGGGTGGTAGAGAAAGCTTCTCTGAGAAGGATATAGGACATGAGAGGCTGGATGGATTTGGGAGTTGACAGGTCGAATAATTAGGAAGATTGGTGGGAAGTGCAAAGGTAGTGCAAGGGCCCCTTGGTAGTGCAAAGGCCCCACCATGGGAATAAGCTGTGGAGAACACTAAAAAGACCAGTGGGACCCAAGATAGGGCACTGGGAGAACAGACAAGCTGAGGCCAAAGAGTAGGTGGTAACCAAGTCACATAGGGCCCTCTAAGCCAGGATAAAGAGTGGAGGTTTGTTTTAAGTGACTTGGAAAGTCTCCAGAGAGCTTTAGGCAGGGAAGTAGTACAGTTTTACATTTTCTATCTTTCTTTCTTTTTTGTTTTTGAGACAGTCTCACTCTGTCATCCAGGCTGGAGTACAGTGGCACTATCTTGGCTCACTGCAACCTCCCCAGGTTCAAGTGATTCTCCTGCCTCAGCCTCCTGAGTAGCTGGGATTACAGGCATGCACCACCACACCCAGCTAATTTTTGTATTTTTAGTAGAGTCAGTCTGGTCTTGAACTCCTGACCTCATGATCCTCCCACCTTAGCCTCCCAAAGTGCTGGGATTACAGGCATGAGCCATCATGCCCGGCCTTTTGATTTACCTTTTCAAAAGATCACTGTGTGGTCGAGCATGGTGGCTTATGCTTGTAATCCCAGTACTTTGGGAAGCTGAGGTGGGAGGATTGCTTGAGCCCAGGAGTTCAAGACTAGCCTGGGCAACAAAGCAACACCCTATCTCTACAAACAATTTAAAATTAGCTGGGTGTGGTGGTGCACTCCTGTGGTCACAGTTACTTGGGAGGCTGAGGCAGGAGGATTGCTTCAACCCAGGAATTTGAGGCTTCAGTGAGCCAAGATCACACCACTGCATGCCAGCCTGGGTAACAGAGCAAGACCCTGTCTCAGTCAATCAATCAGTCAGTCAGTCAGTCAATCAGTCAATCACAGTAATCACAAGAGTCAAGAATGAGGTAGGGACATTGATCACAATCAGTCAGTCAACCAGTCAGTCACAGTGATCACAAGTGTCAAGAATGAGGTAGGGTATTCATTTGACATACCTCAGGGCAGAAATAGGTGGCTAATGAAATAATCTAGATGAAAGATACTTTATTTTGTTCTCTCTTTTCCTTTTATTACCAAGTGAAAGTGTCATCCTGAGTCTCTTGCTTGGTTGGAAGCCTCACAGCTGTCCTTGAACAGATCCAGGTCTGGAGAATTGTTTGGATAATTTAGGTGCTCCAGGCCTGGAGCAGTGATGACCTAGTGAAGGTACTTAACCTGACTCATAACACAGGGCAGCAGGGGTTAATGAATGGGGTTCTAAGATATGAGCATGTGTTGAATTACTTTCTTCTGAGTAGAGTTCATAGCTTCTTAGCAGTTTGTCAAAGGGACCTGTGACCTCCAAAAGGGTATCCATTAACAGGCAGTGCGTTGAGCACTGATGGGAGGTGTCATAGGAATTACAGAAAACAAGAGCACCAATGGTAACTCCCGCTTTCTAAGGCAGAGGTTTGGGAGAGAGGGAAAACACAAAGTTAGACATAATTATGAAGAAAAATGGGGTAGGCTGGCCAGATCATATGGCAGTCAGGAAAAATATTAAGAGATAATAAATCTTTTCCCCTTAGCTTCCTCCCTGTACATTTTTACTTGGGTCTAGAAATTCACATGTTGCAGTCAGTGTCCTTAAATACCACAAGATGGCGAGGTTGCTCCTTAAAATGAATGTGACTTGCTAAGTGGTAAAGAGGGAGGGAGAAAGAGAAAGAAAATGTGTGTTAGGTGTTCCTCTCTGATTTTCCATAACTTCCCTGATTTTTCTTAGCTCTACTTAAATATAAAATAGAACTGACATGCATACATTTTTCCTTTTTAATTTAGATTTTGATCATAGTTGTTTTTGGAATTGTAAAGCTAAAAATAAAATTTAGAAGAACTATCTGGATCCCAGGCTTAACATTTTTTCTAGCTCTTTATTAAATTATTAATGAATAATTTTATTCTGTACATCGCCAACAGAGCAATCTTAGCATAATGTCCATTCTCTGCTTTATTCTGTTTATTTATTCTTGTAAATATTTGTTGATAGTACAGGTAGTCAGTATTTAAGTAGTTATGGTAAGTATAAGGTGAAAAGGTGGAATAAATCTTGACTCATTATAGAATATATACGTTTATTATTATTGTCAGCTTCTTCGCTATTATGAATAAGCATAAAGTTTCAACTACAAAATATTTCAATTTTTATGGTTTATTAAACAACATAATTTCAATACTTGAAATGTCTATTGTCATCATTTGACATACCTCAGGGCAGTTTTCTTTTTGTTATTCTCAACATTTTGTAGAAAAGTTAAGCTAATATAGTATTAATATATTGATTAATTCATCTTTAGTAACTATATATTTAGCTCTCAATGTAAAATTTGTTTTGCTTGTGTTATCTAATCAAATTAAATTCTCATAAGAAATCTACAAGATAAATGTGATTATTGCTTTGCTTCTTTACAGATGAAGACATTGAGTCTTAGGGAGATTGAATAAATGTGTTTTAATAGTTGTCAGAGCTATAATTTGAATCTAGATTTTTTTCAATCCCAAAACTCCTCTTTTTCACTATACTTTACTGGTCATAACAAGAGCAACCATTCCTTTTCTCTTTAATAGTAATACTAGAAGTTGTAATTTACAGTAATTAGGATATTCGTGTCTCTCCCTTTTTCTAAGCTGAACAGAAAGATAATTTTTCATGTAGGCCTTTATTTAGAAGAGTCCATTTAGAGCTGCACTGATGGTGAGGGACCTGGGTTTGTCCCGTTTGAGGGATTTAGGCTTCTCGCCAGAAGCACCTGATTTTCCAAACCTAGAGTGAACTGAAACTTAATTCCTTTTTGTGACTTCCTGCTAAGATAACAGGTGGTTCACGGTGCACAGGCCTTCCTGCTATTGGCAGCTTCTCTCTATTCCTGGAGAATTGTTTTATGCTGGAGACTACTTGTCGTTTGAAAACCATTGCTTTGAAGACTGGAATCCCGGGCCAGGGTGCCCTTTACAGCAGTATGCTGCCTGCCCTGGAACTCATTCTCTAAAGCTTGGTGGTAATTTATTTCTGTACAGAGAATGTTGACTTACAGTTTATTTCTCTTTATTTACTTCATATTCCATTTTTGTTTTTCTAAAGACTGAGAGGATAATAGTTAAGAATTTATAAGTTTTGTTATTGATATTGGGAGACAAAACTGGAATTTACCTGAATCAAGATGTTTGGATTTTTTCAATATGGTTTTATGTGGCTGGGCGCAGTAGCTCATGCCTGTAATCTCAGCACTTTGGGAGGCTGAGGCAGGTGGTTCCCTTGAGCTCAAAAGTTCAGCACCAGCCTGGGAAACATGGTGAAATCCCATCCCTACCTAAAACGCAAAAATTAGCTGGGCGTAGTGGTGCATGCCTGTAGTCCCAGCTACTCGGGAAGCTGAGATGGGAGAATTGCTGGAACACAGTCAATGAGGTCGCAGTGAGCCCCAACAGTGCCACTGTACTCCAGTCTGGGTGACAGAGTGAGACTCAGTTTCAAAAATAAATAAATAAAAATAAAATATGAATTGGAAAAAAGAATGATTTTGTTTTTTCTTCATGTAATAGTTCTAACTGAAAAATAGGCGTAGTGGAAATAAGATTGACCATGAATAATTATTGAAGCTGACTGATGGGCTTATTTTATATATGTGTGTGTGTGTATGTGTGTGTGTGTGTGTGTATATATATATATATATTTTGAGACGGAGTCTTGCTCTGTGACCAAGTTGGAGTGCAGTAGCGCGATCTTAGCTCACTGCAACCTTCGTCCCCCGGGTTGAAGCAATTCCCCTGCCTCAGCCTCCCGAGTAGCTGGGACTACAGGCGCGTGCCACCAGGCCCGGCTAATATTTTCTATTTTTAGTAGAGAAAGGGTTTCACCATGTTGATCAGGATGGTCTTGATCTCCTGACCTCATGATCTGCCCACCTCGGCCTCCCAAAGTGCTGGGATCGTATGCTTGTATCACTGTGCCCGACTGTGGGTTCATTATATATTCTATCTATTTTTATTTGACATTTTCTAAGTTAAAACATAAGCAGAGACATGTTTTAATACCTTTTTTTATCATCATGTTTACATAAAATATATTTTAATTCTTTTTTTGTTTTAGCAATTAATTCAAGAAAGATATTTTAATTCTTTAATATTGAGTGATAATTTTATCTGTGGAGTTTGTTTTACATACTCTTATTTGTAACAAAGATCATTTCTGGTGGCAGATGCATCTGGGTACGTTAATCGGTGATTATCAATCACTTCTATAGTTTCCTTTATTTACTTTTTATAGATTATTTGTTTTTTTAAAATTTTTACTGTTATTATTATTATTTTCTGAGACAAATCTCACTCTGTTGCCTAGGCTGGAGTGCAGTGGCACCATCTTGACTCACTGCAAGCTCCACCTCCCAGGCTCAAGTGATTCTCATGTCTTAGCCTCCTGAGTAGCTGGGACTACAGGTACATGCCACCACATCAGCTAATTTTTGTAATTTTAGTAGCGATGGGGTTTTATCATGTTGGCCAGGCTGGTCTTAGATTCCTGACCTCAAGTGATCTGGCCTCCTTGGCCTCCTAAAATTCTGGAATTATAGGCATGAGCTGCCACATCCAGCCAAAACATTATTTTTATATAAAATATTTTTATATTCATTCCTTCCTTCAATAAAGATTATTGAACACTTTTCTAGAGGCTGAGGATACAGCAGTGAACCAAACAGAAAAACATTCTGGAGTGTACACTTTAGTAGGGAGGAGACAAAATAAATCTAACAAATAACTGTTTTACATTTCTGTTATGATAAGCACTGTGGCAACATATATAATGAGGGTGCTCTTTTGTAAAAGGTTGAGGGAGAGTCTTCCAGGTGGCTGGAGATACAAGGCTCGCAGGCAACTCTTTCATACCCTAGTGGCACATGGCTAATATTCCTAAAGCAGCACATGCAAGGAATATCATCAGATAGCTCATGCGTATGGAAAGCTCTTCATTGGGCTACTCTGCTTTTTGGAGACAGATTCATGTAGCTTCTGATACAGCCTTTATTTATTTTTATTTTTTTGAGACAGAGTCTTGCTCTGTTGCCTAGGCTAAAGTGCAGTGATGCAATCTTGGCTCAATGCAACCTCTCCCTCTGGGATTCAAGTGATTCTCCTTCCTCAGCCTCCCCAGTTGCTGGGATTACAGGTACCCACCACCATGGCCAGCTAATTTTTGTGTTTTTAGTAGAGATAGGGTTTCACTATGTTGGCCAAGCTGGTCTCAAACTCCTGACCTCAGGTGATCCTCCCATCTTGGCCCCCGAAAGTCCTGGGATTACAGGTGTGAGCCACTGTGCCTGACCTGATACAGTCTTTATAATGTAACAGTAAGCACCAGGACTGAGGGGAGCAGTAAGAAAATCTTTCTTGTGTTCTGTTGATTCTTGCTGATTGCAAAAAAAAAAAAAAAAAAAAAAAAAGAAAGAAAAGGAAAAGAAAGAAAAAAATGTGATACCTGTGATACCTTCTCTACCTTCTCTTTGTAATCTTAAAAATCACTTAGTTGATGTAATTGTTTTATTTAGTCCGAATTTTAAATTGCACCCAGCCTCTGATTTTCTTTAAGAGTAGCCAGGGTAGGCCGCTCATGCCTGTAATCTCAGCACTTTGGGAGGCCAAGGTGGGCAGATCACAAGGTCAGGGGCTCGAGACCAGGCTGGCCAACATGGTGAAACCCTGTCTTTACTAATAATACAAAAATTAGCCAGATGTGGTGGCATGTGCCTGTAGTCCCAGCTACTTGGAAGTCTGAGGCAGAAGAATCGCTTGAAACTGAGAGGCAGAGGTTGCAGGGAGCCAAGATCTTGCCACTGCACTCCAGCCTGGGCAACAGAGTGAGACTCCATCTCAAACAAGCAAATAGAATAGCCAGGGTAGAGCACTGTAATGAATTCTTACTGCTTCTTCAAGGAATAGTATATATCTAATAGTCTCAAAATGCTGCAGGATTTCTGGATAGAAATGGTTTTAACACACTATATTTATTGTACAATGATTTTAGCACACCCTGTGTAGTGCTGAATATATTTATTCTTGTTGTTTTAGGGTATGGTCAGACAGGTCCAATTTCTCAGCGAGCTGGTTATGACACTGTTGCCTCTGCTGTTTCTGGTCTGATGCACATCACGGGGCCCGAGGTAGGTATCCTTCTTTAGAATATTCATAATTTCTTCCCTTACATATTCCAAAGGGATTTTACTTTGCACTAGCCCGTAGGATTAAACGAGTTATTGGGTTGGGGCAAAAGTAGTTGCTGTTTTTGCCATTGAAAGGAATAGCTATAGAAGGAAACCAGGGAAAGAGAATGATTTATGAAAGTAAAATGGGAAGGGTTCATTACAAATGTATTAGAGGCTAAATGTCAATTTGGCCACATGGAAAAGAACAGTGTTTTTAGCAAGAAGCCATAGATTAGTTGGTGAACACATTTTCTACATTTATTATGTTATTCAAGCTTAATATAGGCAACTTTGTGTGATTTAGGAATATTCCTTCTTTGAAATAAAACAGTTAACTAGACTAGACCAGACCACAGATGTCCATTTCTACTAGAGTGCCTTCATTTGGCATGTATACATAGCAGAGGGTTTCTTAAATTTGTTGCTTAAAGCCTCAGGTTTAAATGTATCTGATTTGTCAGTGTGCATTAGATTCTGACAATGAAATAATTAATTTGATTTTATAATAATTCCTCTCCACTGATAGTGGGTTGGGAAGTTTCTAACAAGTGTTTAGATGGCCAAAACGTAGTTGGTTTGATTAAAAGAAAGACTCCTGGGGAAAGCAATATGAATGACATTAAACAAAGTGGAAAAAAAGTGTGAAAGACTAATAAATAAAAATGCTTAAAGACATCTATTTCAAAACTAGCAGGATTCATGGCCTTACAAAACTTGTTTTAGTAGGTATTCATTCCCTAAATCACTTCCTCTAGTTAATTCTTCAGGAAATATTGCTTGCTGTAGTGTTGAAATAGACTGAGGCAGAGTGACCTCAAGTCTTTTGCAGTTTTCCTTTTGTTTACTTAATTTTACTAATTAATGAATTGTTTCCCTTTGTCTCTAATTCCTGATTATGAGATTTACTTTTTATTAATTTCAAAGAGCTGTTGAGGTTTTAATTTCTTGAAATATAAAGTTATTGTACTTTCATATTTGTTTCATTTTCACACATTTAGGAAAACTGTGAGTGGCCTTTGCTTTTGTTTTGTTTATTTTATTATTATTATTTTTTCGATACAGAGTCTTACTCTATTGCCCAGACTGGAGTGCAGTGGCATCATCTCGGCTCACTGCAACCTCCATCTTCTGGGCTCAAGTGCTTCTTCTGCCTCAACCTCCCAAGTAGCTGGGATTATAGGCATGTACCACCACCCTTGGCTCATTTTGTATATTTAGTAGAGATAGAGTTTTACCATGTTGCCCAGGCTGGTCTTGAACTCCTGACCTCAGGTGATCCACCCACCTCATCCTTCTGAAGTGCTGGGATTACAAGCGTGAGACACGGCACCTGGCCTTGTTTTGTTTTTTTGAGACAGGGTCTCAGTCAAGGCTGGAGTGCAGCCTTAATGGCACACTGCAGCCTCCTGGGCTCAATAGATTCTCCAACCTCAGCCTCCCACATAGCTTGGACTACGGGTACGTGGCACCACACCTGACTAATTTTTAAATTTTTTGCAGAGATGCTGTTCTATTATGTTGCCCAGTCTGGTCTTGAACTCCTGGGCCCAAGCCATCTTGGCCTCCCAAAGTGCTGGGATTACAGGCGTGAGCCACTGTGCCCTGCTGGCCTTTCCTTAAAATATTCAAGAGCACCAGTTTTCTTTTCATCTATCGAGAGAATAGAGCATGAACATTTCTCTCATTGCTGAATTCCACAGAGTCTCATATGGCCAAGACATTCTTTATTGTGAATGCTTTTATTTAAGGGTGTTGAACTCAATTAGGAATATGTGAAAAGATCTGGTATTTAAACGTTTGTATATTCAAATGATAAAATGAATTAAATGAAAAACTGCTGAGATGGGTGATTACTGTAATTCCTTTAGTACATTGTACTGTGACCTAACAGGGATAACCACACAGGATAGCTCAACCTTATAATTTCCCAGTCAATAACAGCTTTTATCTCTTGTATTACCCTACTTGGGCGATTTTTGTTCTAGGTGAGCAAATAACATTTATTGAGTGCTTGGTATGTGCCAAACATTGCTTTATATACTTTCCATGTATTATATTAAGTAAACTTAACTCTCATACTGTATTTCTTTCACATGGACACATCTTTCACTCCTCAATTCAGTTAATCATCCACCTAGTAAGTAGTTACTGCATCTGTTTCCTACTGTATGATGGGAATGGTGGTAGGTGCTGGAGATTCAGCAGGCAACAGGACAGGCACAAGTCCTTACCTTCCTATAGCTATTAAGTGGGGAAAACAAACATTAACAGAAAATATTTATTACATGCAAATAAAAAGAACTCTGAAGAAGTGTACAGGGTGCTATGAACATATATAACAGTGTGCCTCGGGCCATTATTATGCTTCTAAAGAGCTCCACAAAGTGTGGTTTGGCAGCCAAGCGATTGAAAAGAATCAGTCCATGCTGGGAGTCCCGCTTAAGAAAGTTGTTTTCCCTTGTCTTATCAGCAACATATTAATAATTTCCTAAGCCTCTCAGTGGAGATTGTATAGGCAAGATCAATTCTAAAAGCCTTGGCTAATATTTTTAATCAGCCAATGCACATGCACTATTGCTAATTGTGTATATCCATTGTGTATGAACTTTTCTCTAACTGCACAGCCGTGTGCCTGTGCTGTAGCATAGCTCCACGTTGTCAGATGACTGATTGGAACCCAGGCTTCTCTCACATTAGGAGGCTTCTCCACATCACCCTACACAGTGGAGCCCAACTTCATCAGGGCTGTTGGTCAGGGAAGGCATCTCTATAGTTAGAGTGGGATCCTGTTAACCATTAGCTAATTAGCATTAGAGAGTAATGCATGGTATTGCATGTCATCTAGATGCTGGAGAGTCTTGTAGTTTTGAAGAGCCCAAAGAAGGGCAGTGTCACTAAATTATTGTGAATTAATAAAGAAGTGGGGCCAAATGTGGTTGGGAAGGTAAGGAACAGTGGCCAAGCTTACTGCTTGTGGATTTAATACATTATTATATACAAATTTATTAAATACATTATTTAATACATTATTATATACAAATTTATTAAATACATTATTTAATACATTATTATATACAAATATATTTTTAGTGATAATCTTATGTGTTTCTGCCTGTAAATCAAATGATATTCCAAAGATATAGACTAGTATTACAATGAAAAAACTCAAAATGCATGTTTTTTTGCCCTATAATGTAATAATAATATAATTTTTATACAAAAGGGGGCATATCTAAATGTATAGTATAAGGGCTGGGCACCGTGGCTCACGCCTGTTATCCCAGCACTTTGGGAGGCCGAGGCAGGCAGATCACTTGAGGTCAGGAGTTCAGGATCAGCCTGGCCAACATGGTGAAATCCCGTCTCGACTAAAAATACAAAATTAGCCAGGCATTGTGGCACATGCTTGTAATCCCAGCTACTTAGGAGGCTGAGGCAAGAGAATTGCTTGAACCTGGGAGGCAGAGGTTGCAGTGACCCAAGATTGTGCCACTGCACTCTAGCCTGGGTGTCTAAGAGAGAGACTCTGTTTCCAAAAAAAAGAAAAAAATTATAGGGAAAATTTTATGAAAGCAGTCTTTATCATGTGGTTTAAGGTAAACTAATTACTGTTAACTTTTACTAAATCTAAAATTCAGCCTTTTAAGCATGCTATGGTGTTGTCAGATTAGATTATATTTGATTATGGACAAAAGGAGAATATGTTTTGAATATCTACACTATGCCAGATAGATGATAGACATTTTACATATATTATTAGTTCTTTTGATCTTTACATTGATACTTCCAGGTGCGTATTGATGAACTCCCTTTTTCTTTCTTTTTTTTTTGAGACAGAGTCTCATTCTTTTCGTGCAGGCTGGAGTGCAGTGGCACAATCTCAGCTCATTGCAACATTCACCTCCTGGGTTCAAGTGGTTCTCCTGCCTTAGCTTCCCCAGTAGCTGGGATTATAGGCACATGCCACCATGCCTTGCTAATTTTTTTTTTTTTTTTTTTTTTTTTATTTTCAGTAGAGATAGGGTTTCACCATGTTGGATGGTCTCTAATTCCTGACCTCAAGCAATCCACTCACCTCGGCCTCCCAGAGTGCTGGGATTACAGGCGTGAGCCACCGAGCCTGCCCTTGTATTGATAAATTCTATAACTGAAGCTTAGAGACTTATATAACTTGATATGAGAGTGAGAAGTGGTAAAGCCAAACTTTGAACCCAGGTTTGCTTTACTTCTATAGCTTGTACTCTTTTCACTCTCCATGATACTTGCAGAGTGATCCTGATGTCTGTTGTGTTTGCATCTTGCTTCTGCAAGATGCTTGATATATGTTACAGTGTGTAAATAGACCATTTGGAAGAGTGGGAGAGCACTCAAATAAAGAATTTGGGGTTCTGGCTCTAATTTACTGCTGTCTGTTCAATGACTGCCTAAAATGGGCCTTGGTAAGATATAAGCCTCATAGGAAAGACCATGGTTTTTTATTTGGTCACTACTTTATGCATAGAACAGAGTCTTACTAAATAATAAATATATATTGAATAATTGAATGTCTTATACTATATTATGTGATTTTTTTTTTTTGAGGTAAGGTCTCATTCTGTTGCTCAGGCTGGAGTGCAGTTGTGTAATCACGGCTCATGGCAGCCTCAACCTCCCCACTCAGCCTCCTGAGTAGCTGGGACCAAAGGCATGTGCCACCATGTCTGGATCTATCTATCTCTTTATCTCTCTATATCTATCTATCTATCTATCTATCAATCAATCAATCAATCAATCATCTCTCTGTCATCTGTTTATCATCATTTTTTACATGCATATAGAATATGAAGAGATTGGGAATGAAATCAATTAGTATGAAAGATTCTGAAAAGTAAATGACCCAGACATATGAGATATGTGTTCTGAGTAACAATTCAACCATAAATCTTGGCACACTTGAATATCAAGAATAAGTATACTGA